ACTGCACAGCAGAAGGTGGTTACAATGTATTTACTGCTGACTGCACAGCAGAAAATGGTTACAATGTATTCACTGCTGACTGCACAGCAGAAGGTGGTTACAATGATTCACTGCTGGACTGCACAGCAGAAGGTGGTTACAATGTATTCACTGCTGACTGCACAGCAGAAGGTGGTTACAATGTATTCACTGCTGACTGCACAGCAGAAGGTGGTTACAATGTATTCACTGCTGACTGCACAGCAGAAGGTGGTTACAATGTATTCACTGCTGACTGCACAGCAGAAGGTGGTTACAATGTATTTACTGCTGACTGCACAGCAGAAAATGGTTACAATGTATTCACTGCTGACTGCACAGCAGAAGGTGGTTACAATGTATTCACTGCTGACTGCACAGCAGAAGGTGGTTACAATGTATTCACTGCTGACTGCACAGCAGAAGGTGGTTACAATGTATTCACTGCTGACTGCACAGCAGAAGGTGGTTACAATGTATTCACTGCTGACTGCACAGCAGAAGGTGGTTACAATGTATTCACTGCTTAGTACAGGAATATTCTGTGGTGAGGTCTCCATCTCTTCCAGGGTGCAACTCTTGTCCCATTGTCCGCAAGCCACAAAGATGGTCTTGTTGGTGATAATGAGAACTCAAAAAACTAAACGTAGCAGAAATCATATCTTTTATTTTGTGTGGTTAATCTCCAGTTGCTTAAAGTACGCAACTAACTATCTTATTTGTCTGTTTTGTACTCAAGTGAGTGCTATAAACATGCAACACTGATACTAGTGTATTGTAATCCTGCCATAGCCTGGTTAATGTGTATTTTAACCTAACCTTTACTATAATAAGTCCCTGCAAATGTAACTCTTTTGGTAACTGCATAAAATATGCCAGTGTATGGGGAAAAGAACAGGCTGATAGACTTGCGCTGCTGTTCTCTATGGTGATCTTATTTAGAATAAGGCCAGCGTGGTGAAAGCTCTCTGAGATGATAGGTAGAGAGTAGTGGAGCCAGCAGCATCCACACCTAGCAAGATTCTCTGAGATGATAGGTAGAGAGTAGTGGAGCCAGCAGCATCCACACCTAGCAAGATTCTCTGAGATGACAGGTAGAGAGTGGTGGAGCCAACAGCATCCACACCTAGCCATATTCTCTACGATGACAGGTAGAAAGTGGAGCCAACAGCATCAAAACCTAGCAAGATTCTCTGAGATGACAGGTAGAGAGTGGTGGAGCCAGCAGCACCCACACCTAGCAAGATTCTCTGAGATGACAGGTAGAGAGTGGTGGAGCCAACAGCATCCACACCTAGCCATATTCTCTATGATGACAGGTAAAAAGTGGAGCCAACAGCATCCAAACCTAGCAAGATTCTCTGAGATGACAGGTAGAGAGTGGTGGAGCCAGCAGCACCCACACCTAGCAAGATTCTCTGAGATGACAGGTAGAGAGTGGTGGAGCCAACAGCATCCACACCTAGCCATATTCTCTACGATGACAGGTAGAAAGTGGAGCCAACAGCATCCAAACCTAGCAAGATTCTCTAGAATGACAGGTAGAAAGTGGAGCCAACAGCATCCAAACCTAGCAAGATTCTCTGAGATGACAGGTAGAGAGTGGTGGAGCCAGCAGCACCCACACCTAGCAAGATTCTCTGAGATGACAGGTAGAGAGTGGTGGAGCCAACAGCATCCACACCTAGCCATATTCTCTATGATGACAGGTAAAAAGTGGAGCCAACAGCATCCAAACCTAGCAAGATTCTCTGAGATGACAGGTAGAGAGTGGTGGAGCCAGCAGCACCCACACCTAGCAAGATTCTCTGAGATGACAGGTAGAGAGTGGTGGAGCCAACAGCATCCACACCTAGCCATATTCTCTACGATGACAGGTAGAAAGTGGAGCCAACAGCATCCAAACCTAGCAAGATTCTCTAGGATGACAGGTAGAAAGTGGAGCCAACAGCATCCACACCTAGCAAGATTCTCTGGGATGACAGGTAGAGAGTGGAGCCAACAGCATCCACACCTAGCCAGATTCTCTAGGATGACAGGTAGAGAGTACTGGAGCCAACAGCATCCACACCTAGCAAGATTCTCTGAGATGACAGGTAGAGAGTGGTGGAGCCAACAGCATCCACACCTAGCCATATTCTCTATGATGACAGGTAAAAAGTGGAGCCAACAGCATCCAAACCTAGCAAGATTCTCTGAGATGACAGGTAGAGAGTGGTGGAGCCAGCAGCACCCACACCTAGCAAGATTCTCTGAGATGACAGGTAGAGAGTGGAGCCAACAGCATCCACACCTAGCCAGATTCTCTAGGATGACAGGTAGAGAGTAGTGGAGCCAGCAGCATCCACACCTAGCCAGATTCTCTGGGATGACAGGTAGAGAGTGGAGCCAACAGCATCCACACCTAGCCAGATTCTCTAGGATGACAGGTAGAGAGTGGTGGAGCCAACAGCATCCACACCTAGCCATATTCTCTATGATGACAGGTAAAAAGTGGAGCCAACAGCATCCACACCTAGCCAGATTCTCTGGGATGACAGGTAGAGAGTGGAGCCAACAGCATCCACACCTAGCCAGATTCTCTAGGATGACAGGTAGAGAGTACTGGAGCCAACAGCATCCACACCTAGCCAGATTCTCTAGGATGACAGGTAGAGAGTGGTGGAGCCAACAGCATCCACACCTAGCCAGATTCTCTAGGATGACAGGTAGAGAGTGGTGGAGCCAACAGCATCCACACCTAGCCAGATTCTCTAGGATGACAGGTAGAGAGTACTGGAGCCAACAGCATCCACACCTAGCCAGATTCTCTAGGATGACAGGTAGAGAGTACTGGAGCCAACAGCATCCACACCTAGCAAGATTCTCTGGGGAGTGAGCTGGGACTGTGATTAATATGAAGGGATAAAGACATGCAGTCTTTCAATCAGGTTGTTACTCGCTGTCAGAACAGGACCATTTGTTGGATAATGAAGGAAGGTAGAGCATCTCTGGGAATTTTCTGACTGCAGTTGTTTTATGCTTGACTTACTCATTTCCCTGTTACATGATGTAAATGTAGACTAATTAGGGTTGCTTTCTTCAATGTTTCAATGTTGGAGTGCATATGCCTGAGAGGCTAGGAATTAACAATCTGTGCACAAATAAGCCATATCTGTAAAACGGATATGCACACAAAACTTAAGTTCTGGAACAAGTGGATAAGCAACCAGAAATTTCCACCGGAGCTGACAGCCGGTGGACACACACGAGAAGAAAAAGAAGACATATTCATTCATTCATGTTGAAAACAACACATTATTTCCACAACCAGCGTATAGTGACTGAGTTTACAGTAAACATAGTTAGGAATTAGGAGTTTTCCGCAGAAATAACATGATCATAACATAAACCATAACAGACATGTTTGCAAAGTATTGAATATGTAAGCAGTAAAAAAAAACTCATCAAAAAAGAAGTCAGGACTCCGGATGAAAAGGCAACAGTGAAGGAATCGTACATCACTCCATGAGCTCATGACTTAACAAAATGCATAAGCCTTGAAAGTTGGTGACTCAAACAACTTGCATCAAAGTAAACAATTCAAGAAGTGTGGTGTTTTGCATTTCAACACATATTATCATCATCACAATCGTCGTGGAAGCACCCAAAACAAAGTCAAATCAAACAAGCACATGCACATTATACTGTATCACTGCTACAGGAGGCTGAATTATTCCAGGCAACTACAAAACGAGGGCTGGATAACCAACTTTGTCAAAGAATATACACATTTATCGGTCGGGAATAAACACAGCAAACTTATGTATGAATGCCTGGGTAAATGCCATGTGCAAAGGGTACACATATATATTATTGAGCTGTGGGGCAGATTAGCTAGGGAGCTGGCCTGCCATGACAGTGGTTTGGGTTCAATACCCAACTGAAGCAGAAGTACGTATTTCCAAGCATAAACATGCGGCCCAGACCATTTTTATAATTTCTTGGAGATTGTCCGGACAAGGAGAGTTGATAAAGTAAACTGTCAGTTTCCCCTCACACTGTACAGCCGTGAGTATATTCAAGATCAAGTATACACAATGTTTAATGTCACAGCCTTGAGTATATTCAAGATTTGGTATACATGATTTGAGTATATTCAAGATTAGTTACACACGATGTTTAATTTCATAGTATAGATCCAAAAATAACTGATGTATCTTCCAAAACCAATATATTTCCTTTAAGAGCAATATCTGATGCCAAAGAATTATTTCTGCCACATGCGAACTCATATCACTATATGTTGACTGATCTCGTAGACAATACCTGAGCTCTAAGAAATGACACAGACTTCATTATATCCATATGTACGGATCACTATAAGAAGTTTGAGGATGAACACTGCACAGTTAAAAATATTCTGGGCCATTTATTTGAATTTCAACTGCTGCTGGTATGCTCAAAGATGGTCTGCCTCTGTGTCCTTATATGGTAATTGAAGTCAGGATTGTGTAGATACCTAATAGGTAGCACTGTTTGATGTGGTACTCAATCTGAGTCCTGAATAGTCACTGGATGTGTACTCAATAGTCCTAGATAGGTAGCACTGTTTGATGTGGTACTGAGTCCTGAAGTCAGGATTGTGTAGATACCTAATAGGTAGCACTGTTTGATGTGGTACTGAGTCCTGAAGTCAGGATTGTGTAGATAGAGATAGGTAGCACTGGAGTCGTGAAGTCAGGATTGTGTAGATAGATACCTGATAGATAGCACTGTTTGATGTGGTCCTGAGTGTATCTATATCTTCTTCAGTTTACTGTTGGCACATAAGGCATTCACAAGTGGTACTGAGTGTATCTATATCTTCTTCACGTTACTTTTGGCACATAAGGCATTCACAAGTGGTACTGATTACTCCATCCTTAAGAATTGATGTAGAGACTTAAATCACAATATCATATACACACATCTGCACTGTTATAAGTCTGCACACTGAACCACTAAAACGCCATGTTCTGTGACATAGGCATCATGATCTGGCATCCACTGTTGACATGTTCGACAATCCTCTGTTTGAGCTTCATCACCTGGTCGCGAAGGCTGCTTGCTGTTGTGACAAGGTCGCTATTCTGTCCCTTAAGTTCATTGACACGGTCCTCTAGCCTGGAGATTCTCTCAAGTTTGCGTGTACGACATTTGCGGGCGGCAACCCGATTGCGGGCTCGCTTCCTTTCGAGTTTAATCTTTTCTTGGGACTCCATGTTGATAGGCGACAGAGGAGGCGATGAGCTTAGGCAAGGAACCGTTTGTGGTTCGTCTTTAATGTGTGGTATCCTTATGTCCGGCCTAGAGACGGGCACCGTCATGCTCGCCTTGGACGTTGGAAGAGCTGCTTTTGGAGGACTGGCTGGGCGATGTGCTCTAGGTACTGGTCCACCGGGAACAGACGTGGTTGTAGGCAAATCACTTGGTGGAGGGAACACGGGGACGGTGGCAGCTGTAGGTAGAGTCGCACTTTGAGAAAGAGCTGTTGGCACGGTTAAAGTTGTGAAAGTTCTTGTAAGTTCTTGGCTGCGATTCACCGTTATGGCTCCAGTACTTTGCAGTTCTGCTAAAGCATCGACGAAACCCCTGGCGTACGCCTCCTGCTCCTCCGTCACAAACTTGGGAAATATAAACTGTGTCGGAGTAGGCGTCGTCGTCACTAGTCCGTTGGCTTGAATAATCATCTTCTCCAACTCTGGCGACGCTAACTTTAGCATGTTTAAATCTGGCGACGCTAACACTGTCGCTAATTTCTTCTGTTTAGTCGCGGAACTCGAATTAAAATCCAGGGTCATGCTCCTTTTCAGCCTCTTCACGGCAGAGTCTGGCCCGTCGGAATCCGAGTACAAGGACGACTGGTCGTCCATCCTGGACCTCGACGAAGCTGTTCGTAAATCCAGGTTGAAATAAGGGGGGTCTCTCCCGCGTCAACACTGACTGGTTTGACTTTTTCAAAATAATGAGTCACTGATCCGTGGGTCGGCTGAGCCCCTCTAGAAGCCAATGCAGTTAGTCACAAGCAGACTTGGCCCTGCAGCAACCCGACGCCGTGATCCTGTGCTAGACCGTTAGCATCAGGCCGTCTCTGGGTGACTCACCGCCTATTTTTAGAACATGACCGCATTTCTCTCAACGCTGATTGGTGGACAATGATCTCATCTGTCACGTGGCACTACTATTTCTAGCAGACGGAAGCTTTCAGGACCACATTTTTTGCTGACGTATGCACAAGAGCTATTTTCAGCCCAAGGAATTCCCCTGGTGTGACTTGTGAACTTTGACCACATTCAGAGGTCGACAGGAGCTCCGCTATTTTGTAAACATTCCGTCCTTGACTTTCATTTTTCTATCTTATTCTTTCAATCTGTTAATCCCTGCTGTTATATTAATGTACCACCTTTTTTTTTTGTTCTTTAGACTAAGACATTAGTTATTGCACAAAATCATCAAATAAATCTTACCCATATTATTGGCACAAACCCTGACAACAATTGATTTCAAGGCTGTTCAACAGGTTGAACGTGGTCGACTTTAAATTTGCTTTCCTTCAACAAACCAATGTTAAAATAAACCATCCCTTCTATTTTAAATCTCGACATAGGTATCGACAGCGATGGCTCTCACAGCAATTGCAAACTTTGAAGGTAAAATTTCTTAGTAAAACCAAACAGTCAATGAATGCCGGGTTGGTTCAGCAACGTCCTATAGAGGTTACTCTTTGTTTTAGTATCCAGAAGCCATGAGTTGTTAACCCTTAGGCTCGGTATTATGAATTTCGCAACCTTTCGGCCTTGATTCCATTGTAAATACCGTAAATCTGGAAGAAAATGTGGCTTTTCTGCCCACCCCCGGGAGTGAACCCGGACCACAAGGAGTTCGTCACCCGCTCACCGCGCAATCCGGTTTAGCCAACTACGCTAGAGAGCCGGGCATAGAGGTTACTCAACTAAACATATTAACTAGTCTAGAGCAGACATCGGCGATCATGATTCTCCCAAAATATCAGTCGTCTTCTATTTTTATGAGAGAGATAGAGAAAGAGAGAGAGAGAGAGAGAGAGAGAGAGAGAGAGAGAGAGAGAGAGGGGAGCAGACGAGAATAGAGAGAAAGAGAATAGAAGAACCTGCTTGGTATAGATGAGAGAGTGAGGAGAGAGCAGAAATATATAAATATAGATACAACGAACGAAGAATCGACTTAACACAAAGAATGAAAGAGCGAAAGAACCTGCTTGGCAGTTGCTGGAATGAGAGAGAGAGAGAGAGAGAGAGAGAGAGAGAGAGAGAGAGAGAGAGAGAGAGAGAGAGAGAGAGAGAGAGAGAGTATGTTTCGCCTTTAAAAGTACTGGTTTGCGGATTCGCCCACTTGATTCCAGGCCACAGCTTTGTTGACGGAGCACCATCTTCAGCCATTGGTGCTGAAATCAATTGATTGCATGTAAGTTTATAACCTACCTCAGAGTGAATTCTGTGGGGGATGGGGGAGGAGTTGACCAATGCCTAACTAATGAGCATGACGTACAAGGCGACCAATTAGAGATGTTACCTTTAAAGTCGAAGTGCATATACCCGAGAGGCTAGAAAGTAACAGTCTGTGTACAAATAAGCTAGATCTGTAAAACGGATGCGCACATCAAACTCAAGTTCTGGAACAAGACTAAAGTCAACAAGTGGACGAGCAACCATAACTTTCCGCCGGAGTTGACAGCTACTGAACGCTAAGAAGAAGGAAGACTCCCTAGTTCCCGCGACTCGGAGGCGCCACTGTTTCTATTAGAAGATGACAACACAGCAGAAACAGTAAAGTAGTTATGATAATAGTGATGAAGAAGACGACACAGTAACAGCAGTATAGAAGGATGATAGTGATGGAAATGTGAGACAGTAGCAGCAGTACAGTAGGATGATAGTGATGGAGATGTGAGACAGTAGCAGCAGTATAGTAGGATGATAGTGATGGAGATGTGACACAGTAGCAGCAGTATAGTAGGATGATAGTGATGGAGATGTGAGACAGTAGCAGCAGTATAGTAGGATTATAGTGATGGAGATGTGAGACAGTAGCAGCAGTACAGTAGGATGATAGTGATGGAGATGTGGGACAGTAGCAGCAGTACAGTAGGATGATAGTGATGGAGATGTGAGACAGTAGCAGCAGTACAGTAGGATGATAGTGATGGAGATGTGAGACAGTAGCAGCAGTACAGTAGGATGATAGTGATGGAGATGTGAGACAGTAGCAGCAGTACAGTAGGATGATAGTGATGGAGATGTGAGACAGTAGCAGCAGTACAGTAGGATGATAGTGATGGAGATGTGAGACAGTAGCAGCAGTATAGTAGGATTATAGTGATGGAGATGTGAGACAGTAGCAGCAGTATAGTAGGATGATAGTGATGGAGATGTGAGACAGTAGCAGCAGTACAGTAGGATGATAGTGATGGAGATGTGAGACAGTAGCAGCAGTACAGTAGGATTATAGTGATGGAGATGTGAGACAGTAGCAGCAGTACAGTAGGATTATAGTGATGGAGATGTGAGACAGTAGCAGCAGTATAGTAGGATGATAGTGATGGAGATGTGAGACAGTAGCAGCAGTATAGTAGGATGATAGTGATGGAGATGTGAGACAGTAGCAGCAGTATAGTAGGATGATAGTGATGGAGATGTGACACAGTAGCAGCAGTATAGTAGGATGATAGTGATGGAGATGTGAGACAGTAGCAGCAGTATAGTAGGATGATAGTGATGGAGATGTGACACAGTAGCAGCAGTATAGTAGGATGATAGTGATGGAGATGTGACACCGTAGCAGCAGTATAGATGCGAGGATGTATAGTGATGGAGATGTGATGTGACAGTACAGCAGCAGCAGAATAGATGAGATGTGAGGATGATAGGCTGATAGCTGATGGAGATGTGAGACAGTAGCAGCAGTATAGTAGGATGATAGTGATGGAGATTATGACACAGCAGCAGCAGAAAAGTAGGATGATAGTGATGGAGATGTGAGACAGTAGCAGCAGTATAGTAGGATGATAGTGATGGAGATGTGAGACAGTAGCAGCAGTATAGTAGGATGATAGTGATGGAGATGTGAGACAATAGCAGCAGAATAGTAGGATGATAGTGATGGAGATGTGAGACAGTAGCAGCAGAATAGTAGGATGATAGTGATGGAGATGTGAGACAGTAGCAGCAGTATAGTAGGATGATAGTGATGGAGATGTGAGACAGTAGCAGCAGTATAGTAGGATGATAGTGATGGAGATGTGAGACAGTAGCAGCAGTATAGTAGGATGATAGCGATGGAGATGTGACAGCAGTATAGTAGATAGGATGATGGTGAGGGTAATCTTGTAAACTGTGGGTGATTGGGATGAGGAAGAGTAAAAGAAAGGTTTGAAGGAAGAGGAAGAGTGAAAGAAAGATGGGTTTGAGGGATGAGGAAGAGTGAAAGAAGGATTTGAGGGATGAGGAAGAGTGAAAGAAAGATGGGTTTGAGGGATGAGGAAGAGTGAAAGAAAGGTTTGAGGGAAGAGGAAGAGTGAAAGAAAGATGGGTTTGAAGGAAGAGGAAGAGTGAAAGAAAGGTTTGAGGGATGAGGAAGAGTGAAAGAAAGATGGGTTTGAGGGAAGAGGAAAAGAGTGAAAGAAAGGTTTGAGGGATGAGGAAGAGTGAAAGAAAGGTTTGAGGGATAATGAAGAGTGAAAGAAAGGTTTGAGGGATGAGGAAGAGTGAAAGAAAGGTTTGAGGGATGAGGAAGAGGGAAAGAAAGGTTTGAGGGATGAGGAAGAGTGAAAGAAAGGTTTGAGGGATGAGGAAGAGTGAAAAAAAGGTTTGAGGGATGAGGAAGAGTGAAAGAAAGGTTTGAGGGATGAGAACTGGGCGGAGATCAATAATTTTAAATCATAAAAATGAAGCATCATAAAAAAAGACAAAAAAGTGACTGGGCAGTCGGTGCATAAACATGAAGGAAATATTGGTGGGGTGTTCAGCCGCAGCGCCCCCAGTCTTACAAACTGTTTGAGGCAAAAATATAGGTCAACCCGCAAAAATATAGGTCAACACGCAAAAATATAGATCAACACGCAAAAATATAGGTCAACCCAACCCCTTCCCTTTTTTTTCTGCCCAATTTTTAATACATCTAAATATATAATATGCTTGAAATAACATGAAATATACACGCAAATAACATGAAATATACACACAAATAACATGAAATATACACGCAAATAACATGAAATAGATACACAAAGGCTCTAAAAGAACATATCTATACGTGGTTAAAGGTTGTCCACTTACAAGAGCACCTAAGGGTTCGGGGCGATG